CCTGCTGCTCCTTGTCCCCAGCCTACCTGGCCCTCCTCAAGACCTCAGCACCCGGTCAGCTCTCTGCCCACTCTCCTCCTCTGACCTGGGCCCAGAAAGCACAGCCAAGCTCAGCCCACACAGACCACCGGCCTAACCATTGGGCTAATTGGATAACTCGGCTGGGTTGGCCGTGTCCTAGGATAGGGCCCCTTCCTGGGCCAGACTCCGGTTGCGTGCCCAGCTCTGTCACCTCCAAGCTGGGGACCTCAGGTCTCCATTTGTACAGTGCAGATAGTGCTGGTCCCCAGCTGAGTTGTTGGAAACCTCGAGTGCATCACTGTGACGACCTTTGGGCCGTACCGAGAGCCAGCTGTGATGTCCTGCCAGCTGGCACCGGTTCCATGCCCATTTGCTTTGTGAAAACAGCCTAGACTCTAAAAATTAGAGCCCAAATCTGACCTCCCCCCTTGTGCTTGGGGCCCTCTGTGAGTCCTGTCACTTCACCTTCAGAAAGGAATGTGAGCTTCAGTGAGCTGGGCCCCGCTGGGCCAGGCGCTGTTCTGAACGCCTCACGGGAGGTGATTCATCATTCCCCCCGTGGCTATAAGAAGTACTACCTCCATTGCCCCATTTGACAGATGGACACACTGAGGCAACTTTCCCAAACAGACACCACTAATAAGAGGTAAAGGGAGACGAGAACCCAGCATCTGCTCCTCACCCCCACCCCAATAGTCCACCCCTGGGCTCTGCCCCCTCTGCTGGTGTCACTCACAGCTCTGGTGCCAGGCACACTTAACACCTGCCTGGCTCGTTCCTGACGGGACCAGCTCACCTTTGTGCTGGACTGGCTTCCTCCTCTGCCCACCACTCCTGCCTTCCCCTCCAGAGCCTGCGCTGAGGACGGACTATGCCAGGCGCTGGCAGGGGCTCTGCACAGCTTATCTCAGTGACCCCACCACAGTGCACAGCAGAGGGAGGCCCTGTTCATATTCTCTCATGAGGACACTGAGGCCCAGAGAGGTTAAGTGACTTACCCAAGATCACACAGCTAACAGACTCATACCAGACATGACAGATCCATGCCCCGGTCACACCTCCCCACCCCAGCATCCTCCAAGCCCTGCTCTGTGCCCTCCTGCAGGAGCCGAGATTCACCCAGAGCAGGTAGAGAGGGCACTCAGGCAGCAGCACTGCTCGGCCAGGCAGCACCACAAGGTTTCGGTTAAATCCAGTAAATCCGGTGCAGCCCCTTCTCTGCCACCAGCTCGCTCACTTCCCACTTCTTTATTGAGCACCTACTATGTGCAAGGCAGTGCTGCTTCACGCCCTCAAAGGTGTTGGCCAGCCCTCACCAACAGCCCATCCTTGCGGGGAAAACATATGGTTCCATCTTCACCCCCGCCCCCAGGAGGGAAAAGGGCAAATCTGTTCCACTGTCTGCCCCGCCTCCTCCAGCTCCACTTACCCCCGGGAGACAAGTGCCTGTCAGAGAGTGCCTGTCACAGAGTCAAAAGCAAGTTCAGTCTACACTTTCCCATTCGGGGGGGAATAACAGAAAAGCCAAACCACTCCCATGAAGCACTTACTTCAGGGAAAAAGGAGGTTATTAGAAATTAAGACAGAAGCCATGGGAAAGAGCCTGCTGGGCGGAGAGGTGTGTGTGCCCTGTGCGGCCGCACCGCACAGGATTGGGGGCGGGGGTGGGACAGTCCCTCTGTCCCCTGGCCTTGCACTGCTGGTTCTTTAATCCTCTGTCAATTGTTTCTTCATTGCCCTCTCAGGGATCACCTTCCCACTGCTGCTTCATCCCACTGTGTCCTTTCTTTTCCGTTCCCCAGCTTTTAACGTTTCTGCTCACACAGTGACAGAGAGCGGCCCCAAACCTGTTCCTGCTGGGAGGGGTGCGGGCTGTGCCCCCAGCCCGCGGTTCTAATCTCGCTTCCACGCCACAGTGGGGTCTGACTTCCTTGGGGCTGAGACTCTGGGCCCAGAGACCTCAGCTCCCTGCTGCCTGAAATTTATGACATTTCAGAACCTCAAATTAGGCGTCGCACACAGCAACTTTGAGCCCCATTTAGCTGTTCTCCAGGATCAATTTTCTGAAATGATGGCATAATAATGGGTTTTAACTGCCTGTCACTTTCGTGCAGAACAAAGGAAGTAATTAGATTTGAGCCCGGCCCCAAGAAGCCGGAGGACGATGGTCCCTGCTTGAATGAAATGGCAGAGGCAGGGCTGAACCCCCTTTCCCCGGATCGGCGTGGAGTGGGCAGGTGACCCGGCTGAGTCACCCTGGGCTGGAGGGACACAGGGAGAGCTACACTCTGGTTTCCTCTGGACTCAGGGAGGCCGTGGAGGGCTAGGGCCTTCGTGCCTGGCCCCCGTCCCCACAGGGGCTGACAGGCAGGGTCCCGTCTGCTCCTCCGCTCTCAGAAAACGGATGTGCGTTGAGCAAACGTGTGACTGTTGGGAGCCACCATTCATGCAGCTGGTCTCTGCTCTCAGGGGGCTGTGCTTTAAGGAGGATGCAGCCCTGCCCTATGGAGTCTGGGTGATGGAGCCCAGAGGTTTGGGAGACAAGACCCCGGCCCCTAGGAGCTCGGACCTCCCCAGGGAGGTGGGCAGGTCTGCACGCAGCGGCAGAAGCACCCAGACCGGCCAGAGCCTCGCCTGGTGGCCTGAGACTCCAGCGGCAGGTCTGAGAGGCTCTGCTGACCCACCTGGCATAACAGTCAGCAGGGAGGCCGAGCCAGGGCATCTCCCGGGGCCTGCAAGGTCACGCTTGGTCACAGCAGCAGCGTTCAGGGGTGTGCTCGGGAAAGGGCTCTGGTAGCCCGCGGAGGAGGCATGCAGAATCAGGGAAATTGGAGGCAGGCCCAGGCGGGAGGCAGTGGGGACACGGCAAGACAGGGCCCAGGGTGAGGGTGGATGCGGCCTGGGGGGAAGCTGAAACAGAGGCCTGGGGGGTGGGGGTAGGGGTGGGGGGGACGAGCGATAAGCAGCCACTCATCACTGGGCAGGGATGGGTGGGAGGAAGGACAGGCGGCGGTAGGTCAGTGTGTCTGCATGCCCCGGGCCCAAGTGCCACCGCACAGCTTGTTCCGATCATGGGCCCCAGGGATCTGCATTTTAACAAGCTCCCTGGGGGACTCTGATACCGCAGAACCCAGGCCCACGCTCTGAGAAACCCCAGAGGGAAACGGTCCATTTCCCCTGCCTTCCAGGTGTGGCAGGTGACCAGCCGGGGAATCCGTCCTTGTTCTGTGATTTGACGCCATCTTGATGCCACCACTTGTCAGACCAGCCATTTAATTCCTCTGAGCCTCAGTTTCCTCTGAAAAAGGGAGAGAGAATAGCACCTCCCTCCTGTGATGACTGGGAGGTTGATTAATACTTTACACGACAGCCTTTCATATAGGCCTGACTCGAGACAGCTCGACCTTTGCATGCACCCGAGCTTCCTTCCTGGGGAGAAGCGTTAAGGATAAAGGGTGCAGCCAGCATCTCCAGTTGCAAGCTGTGTGCTCATGAACGCCGTCCGCTCATTCAGTGAGCACCCTTGAGCTCCTGTCTGCGCCGGGTGCCGGGCTGTGTGCCTGGGACCCAGGGGAATAGGGCCCCCCCGGTACCCTCCCCCAATAGAAGGGCCCCTTGACATGGGACGGGGATCATAATGGAGGGCAGTGTGGACACCATGAGCGGGAGAGGCCCCAGGAGGAGTTAGTTTCTTTCTGACACAGGAGGAGGATCGGGGGCTTCCTGGAGGAGGCGGCATTTGAACTATGCTTAGTCTGTTGGGAATGCGAAGCAGGAGGTCGCACCTAAGAGTGCAGCCCAGCAGCCAGACCACCTGCGAGGGTTTGAAGCTTGAGTGTGTGTCCTTGGCTCTCCCCTCACGTTTTCTGACCTGGGGGTCCCCAAGATCGATGGAATAGGACAATTAAGAGCCCAGGCTGGCCCCTCACTGGCTGGATGAGTAACCTTGGCCAGGACTTGATTTCCACGTGCCTCAGTTTCTTCATCTGTTAAAGGGGAATGAGTTTCTTCATCTGTAAAAGGGTGGGCAGGAGGGCAGAAAGGGTTCATTCCTGTGACGTTCTTGCCCAGCACGATGTCACCCTCACTCACCAAATGGATCAGAAGCAAAGAATGCATTTGTGCCATCCGGCGTCTCAGGGCTGCTGGGCCCTGACTTTATGGTTTTCCTCCCTGCCTGCAGCCGCCACCTTCATGGAGCACTGGAAGCGGAAACAGATGCGTCTCAACTACCGCTGGGACCTCACAGGCTTCGAGGAGGAGGAGGTGAGTGGGGGGCACTGCGTCCTCCCCTGCCCCCGCCCATTACCTCCTGGGGAAACTCCTGGAAGCCTGAGGCCCTGGGGCCCAGGCAAGGCTGCTCCCGCCTGCTTCTCGGTTCACATCCCTGGTGTTTGAATCACCCGCGGTTGCCAGGGCGACGGTTTGATGTCTGTCGAGTGTTTCTGATCTCCATGCTCACATGGACACACCGCCTACCAGTGCGGTCAGGGACAGCTCACCACGCTGACCTCATCGAATCCGGGGGAGGCCGGGCGAGTCTGGGAGGGAATCACCACCGCCCAGGAGGCCGCGTCCCCAAAGGCGGCTGTGAGCCTTTGCCCCGGTGCCAGTCGTTGGGCGTGACTGAGAAGTGGGAGCCGAGCCTTTCCCAATAGAGGGAAAACCAGACGCCCGCATCCCCGCTTCCCCAGGGGCCACGGGGAGGGCGGAGGACACTCTCCGGAGGTTCCTCGGAGAAGCCTGGCTGCTGCCCTCCGAACGGGCAGCTCCTGCCGGAGTCCCCACGGGAAGAGTGGGCAAGACACGGAAAAGCAGTCCCCACAGCCTGCCGCCCGCAGAGCAGAGCTGTAAGGTGTGGCCACCTGGCCGCCACTTAATTTTATAAGACGCCGAGCTTGTCTTTTAGAAGCGAGCTCTCATGCATGGTCACTGGATGTGGAATCTCCCCCATCGTTTTTTAGCATTCCATCGTTCTCCCCCCACATGCTCCCTCCTGACACTGAGTCTGCCCGCCAGTCTTCAGCCTAACCTACTGCAGTCAGGGAGCTGGTGGGCGGGCTCCGTGCTCCCAGCGCTGCTGGTGGCCGAGGGGACTGGAGTCTGTGGGGAGAGGCACCGCAGGGCTTCCGTCCTGGTTTGGCACTGTCCTTGCTGTGTGACCGAGGCCAAGTTGCCTAACCTCTCTGTGCCTCAGTGTCCTCCCTTCTTAAATACGGATTGTGAACTAGTTCTCACTCTAGACCAGTGGTTCTCAACCTTGGCTGCACGTTATAATCACCCCTGGGAGGCTTTTTTTTAAAATCCTGAGTTCTGGGCCTCTTCCTCCGGAAATTCTGTTTCTTTGTGATGGGGTGGGGCCACAACATTAGTAACAAAGAAACAGAATTTCCGGAGGATGAGGCCCAGAAATCAGGATTTTAAAAAGATTCCCAGGTGATTCTAATGTGCAGCCAAGGTTGAGAACCACTGCCCTAGAGGGTTTGAGGGGGTCTCCGTGGATAAGAAGCACTTAGGGCAGGGAGGGCCCCGTACCAGTAAGTGCCCCAGGACTGGTCACCCGCTAGCCGCCTCTGAGCTCAACCCTCTTAACCCAGGGGACCCCATTATCCGTCTCACACATGGCGACGCCAGAACAGGTGCAGCCTGTTCACCGACAGGCAGCCCTTCAGGGGTGAGCCAGGTACGGAACCTCCCCCTGGGCAGGTTCTTTCAAGATTGAGAATGTCCTTTTCATGATGTCCCTCTGGTTGGGGAAAGTTGGGGAGGGGGCCAGTCCTGTGTGTTCAGCCCCTCGGGGATCCATCCCATGATCTCTTCACCTGCCCCCCTCCCCCGGCACTTGACTTGGGGGTGGCAGTCGGAGCCCTTGGGCATGAGGCCCCAGGAGACTGAATGAGGTCCCCAAGGTGAGTCTCCCCATCACCTCCCTCCCCCCATAGCTGACCAGGGACCCTTTGGGATTGAGTCTGAGGGGTAAAGGCTGCCTCTCCGTGCAGTCTGAGCTCCCGGCGTTGGCCCTGGGAGCAGAAGGAGCCCGTGTACCCCTTAGCTGAGACCGACACAGTCCAGCACCCGCCTGGGAATTCCCCAAATCGCTCAGGCTGCAAAAGCAACAGCACGCACGGTCACCCTAAAGCAGGGGTCCTCAAACTACGGCCCGCGGGCCACAGGCAAATACAAATATTGTATTTGTTCCCGTTTTGTTTTTTTACTTCAAAATAAGAGATGTGCAGTGTGCATAGGAATTTGTTCATAGTTGTTTTTTTAAACTATAGTCCGGCCCTCCAACGGTCTGAGGGACAGTGAACTGGCCCCATTTAAAAAGTTTGAGGACCCCTGCCCTAAAGCAACGATGACCGCTAGCGGGTCTCGGACCCCAGGTGCTCCTTGTCCACCCGTGTCCTTCACCCTCACCCCAGCCCTTAAGAAAATTGTCTTTAGTTTAGAGGACGTGGCCTATTTCTTCAAAAACAACACAAAGTAATGGAGTCTTTTCTGTTTGTTTTCATGTGTATGTTTCTGGTTCCCTGAAGGAGGCCGTCAAGGTTTGGAACTTTTTGTCACTCCCCTGTCTCCCCATAGCCTGTCTCCCGGGAAGAGGGGTCTTCTCACGCCTCGTCTGTCTCTTTCTACCATCAGGCCTCCGCAGCTCCTCCACCGCGGGCGGGGTCTCCGCTTCTCCCCACCTTCGGGTCTCTCTTAACCCCGTTCTTCCGTTCCAGTGCCCTCTGCTGACCTGCTCCGGGCTCCCCCGAGGGCTGGCGCCTCCGGTCTGCCCGCGCTTGCTGACACTTACTGCGTCTCTCCTGACCCCAGTAGACGTTCTCGGGGCCAATTCACAGCTGGGTGTTCAAAAGGAGGCCACTGGGCACTGATTTGCTGCCAGCAGCACCCAGAGCCAGGTTTCTCTGGCCTTCCCCCACGGGCTGGGTTCCCAACAAGGGGTGGATCCCGGACGGACCGCGTATGGCGCGTTCTGAATTGGAAATGGTACAAAACAGCCAGCTATGAATCGGCCCCAAAGGGTGCCCAGCGCGAATGGGTGGACTGAATTTGGCATGCGTGCTCAAGGTGAGGATCTCAAACTCACAGTTCACAGGCCAACTTGGTTTCTTCCACTCAAACTCACAGTTCACAGGCCAACTTGGTTTCTTCCACAGGACCATCCCAGAGCTGAGTATGAAGCTAGAGTTTTGGAGAAGTCACTCAGGAAAGAATCCAAGAACAAAGAGGTACGTACGTTGGCCACTTCTTCTGGCTTTCCCAGCAATAAAACATTGTGTATGTTCAACAGTGTAGACCGGGGCTCAGCAGACACCATATGTTCAACAGGGTAGACTGGGGCTCAGAAAACTCTGTATGTTCAACAGTGTAAATCAGAAGCTGGCCAGCGAGACAGAGAAATATTTAGACTCTGCAAGCCTCTGTCACAACTACTCAATTCTGCCACTATGGCTTGAAAGCAGCCATAGACAGCAGGTAAACAAATGGGCCTGGCCCATTTGTTCCAATAAAACTTTATTTATAAAAACAAGTCGGGGGCGGGGGCAGATTTGGCTGCAGGCTGTAGTTTGTCAAACCTGCTGTAGCTCTACCTTCTTGATCTATCCTGAGCGTGACCTCAAACTTGAGCCAGCATCTTAACATCAAGGACCAGGTAGCTTTGCAGCTTTTTCGCAGTGCACTTGACATTCATTGTGTCCACCTCACTGTGTTCTGGGTTGAAGGATGAAATGGAAGGGATTGCCCAACCAGCCATCCCTGAACAAATGGCCAGTTCCTTGTTCCACTCACAGACAAGTTCTACTCACAGACAAGGAGGATGAGAGAGAGAGAGGTGGGTTTTGGTGATGTCCTTGAGGCCAGCATCCAAACCTGTCATTCGAGTTGGTAGTCCGACGTGTGCAGCCTGAATGCTCACAAGCTCGAGAGTGTTGGGTTTCACAAGCTCTAGAGTGTTGGGTTTTTTGCGAGGGAGGTGTTTGTACATGGCTGGGGCCGCACAGAGCCTCTGACCGCGGCTGGGGACGGGGACAGTTGACAGATGCTCATCCCAGCTCCAGTGTCTGCTGTCCCCTTTGCACACTCAGCCTCTGGAGCTGATCAGGACAGTCCCCCAGTCTTTCCTGGTCGCTGTGTCACATGGGCAGAGTTTTCTGGTTCCGAGTGGCTGGGGGTCGCAATCGCCAGCATCCCACGTAGGGGGTAAGATGGGTGCACCACAGCCCCCTCTCGGGCCCGTTTCCATGACAGCAGAGTCCAGCTTAGTCCTCTTGTAGTCACAAAGAGGGTGCACTCTTTGAACACACTCTTACAATCTGAGCGGGACTCGGGGTGCAAAAATATAGCCACAAAAGCATGAGCCATCACCCCAGATCGGGAGATTGTCTTCAGTTGGACCGATCAGAAGGTGTGACACCCCCATGCACGGTGCCTTCTGAGCAGCGACCTGTGGCCTTGAGCGGCTCCTTTTCCCCTCCTGGGCCTCGGTTTCCCCTCCTAAAGGGAGAGGCGTGATGCCAGCGTGCTCAGTGTGGCATCTCGGCCACGGTGGCCCAGGACAGTCCATCCCATGGCTTCACAGTGGCACCTGTGAGCGTGAGCAGGGGTGGGTGTTGCATTCCCTCCTAAGGGGGAGAAGGGCTTTGTGGCACATGTCATGTCTGCGTAAGTCCAGGGACTTAACCAACCCCAACAGTGGGTCTGGGGGTGGGGTGTCAGGAGTGCCCCTCAGACCCCCACTCACTCCCCCTCTGGGCTTTGACCAGAGATCTCAGATCACATGAGAACAAGGTATGGGGTGATTTCTGCAGGCTGTTGGGGGACCCCAAGCCCTGTTTGCCCCTGGGGGGCCACAACCTTTATTTTTTCCTCCATTTCATTGGCTCCCAGCGGCTCCTTTATGGTTTTCATTTCCCCCGCAGCTGAGGCTCCAGATTCACTTAGGAAAACACAATCCACCCCTTAATGGGTATATTAACTTATAACTCTGGGCGTGGCCTCCTTTATGTTGGCATCGGATGCTCAGCACACGCGGCGTCTTTGCATAAGCGAACCCTGTAGATCACAGCAGCCGGTTGGCGAGTCGGGCCTTACCGAGCCCCGCGGGCTTCCGTGCTGGGGTCTCGGTCTGAAGCCTGGTCTGCGCTCCCTCCCCCCCGGTCTCAGCCTTGCTGTTCGGACGGGGTCCCTGCCAGCTCCTGTGGTTGGCAACGCCCAGAACCTGGACCAGCCTCGGTGGCAAGCACACCACGGGGTGACGGGGGCCTGGGCCAAGGTCACACCTCACCCCGTGGTGCTCTCTTGTTCCCTCCCCCCTCCCCTTAGAAGCACCGGAATACTCCAGAAGAGTCAACAAACAAATGGAAGCAGAGGGTTAAGACAGCCATGGCGGGGGTGAAATTGGTACTTTTCTGTGTCGGGGCGATGCGAGTCGTGACTGTTTGCGACGACCAAAGTCCATTGCGTCCTCCTCAACCAACTCTGACTTTTGTGTTGGTTTTGTCTTTTATTTAACATTCACATTCGTGCTTCCTCTCCTCCTGCCACGCCCAGCGAGCTGCGACGTGTGCGGAGGTGTCACTGCATGGCTACGGAGGGCTGGGGGGCGCGGGACCTGTGATCTGTGCTTGTCACCACTGCCTGCCAGCGGTCTCCTCTTCTCGTTAACACGCATGCCACCCGCCCCGGAGTGAGGGCCTCCCAGGTCCTGTCCTCGGCCGCATTCCTTGTCTAAACACTTGCGCTTCCCGTTTAAAAGCCCACCCCGGTTCTTGAGACATCCCAGGTTGGTGACAGGCTTCCACCTAGGGCTCCTCCCCACCCAGAGAGCCTCCAGGCACCTGTCGCCGCGTGTCCCCTCGGTCCGCTGCGGCTACGCGGCAAGCAGCATTGGAACGTGTCGTGCAGGCTGCCTGTTTCGACTTGCTCTGCAGAGGAAAATAACTATTATGGTCTGGGCGGCGGAGGGCAGAGCACCTTAGATCTTCTCGCCCCAGACGTGAGACTTTCCGCCGAAGAAATGGGGTCCAGACACGCTTCTCCCCGACGAGGGTCTGACGGTCTGATTTAGAAAAGGGTCTGACACTCTCGTCATTACTGCTGTTGTCATCGCACAGAGGAAGCCCACGTTAAACGAGTTCCCTCTGTCATAACGTGACAGCATTTCCTAGGTCACGGGACCCCAGCTGTGTCTGTGAACACTAGACGTTTGCATCCACTCGAACTGTAAATGTGTTTTTTTTAAGGTGTTTCTAAGTATTTCTGTTGTCCGAGTTCACGCACACACACACACGCACACACACACGCACACACAACGCACGCCTCCCCACCCGGGTGGTTCCCACGGGTGACCCGCGTTGTGACCCGCGTTGTTCCATGTTGCAGACTGACAAGGTGAAGCTGACCTGGAGAGACCGGTTCCCCGCCTACTTCACCAACTTGATGTCCATCGTCTTCATGGTAAGTTCCGGAAGGCCGAGGCGGGAGGACGCCGGGGAGCCCACGCCCGGACGGGGGTCAGCCGTCACTGTGGCAGGTGTATGCTCCTGGGATGGTGCCCCTGGAATGGGAAGGAGCGAGGTTCCCCGGGGGTCTCCAGGGGCGCTCTGCGTGCCCTGGGGTCTGTGAGAGAATTTCCCAGAGTCCCCGATGCACATCTCTCATTGTGACAGCCAGACCCAGATTTCACAGATATTATTTAAGACAAAACTGAGGTTTTTATTTTTTTTTAATTTATCTTTATTGTTGAAAGTATTACAGAGGTCCCCTCCCTCCCCCGCCACCCCTCCCCAGGCCTTCACCCCACTATTGTCTGTGTCCATGGTTATGCATATGTGTATATAAGTTCTTTGGTTAATCTTTTCTTGCCTCCCCCTCCCCCCCGTTCCTCTGAGATTCGTCAGTCTCTCCCATGCGTCTATGTCTATTTTGTTCGTCAGTTTGTTTGGTTCATTAGATTCCACATGGGAGTGAGATCATGTGATGCTTGTCTTTCTCTGACTGGCTTATTTCACTTAGCATGATACTCTCCAGGTCCCTCCATGCTGTCTCAAAGGGTAAGAGGTCCTTCTCTTTTACTGCTGCATAGTATTCCATGGAGTAAACGTACCACAGCTTTTTTATCCACTCGTCTACTGATGAGCACTCGGGCTGTCTCCAGATCTTAGCTATTGTATATTGTGCTGCTATGAACATAGGGGTGCATACCTTCTTTCTGATCGGTGTTTCGGGGTTTCTTAGGACAGCGTGTTAGAAGTGGGGTTGCTGGGTCAAAAGGCAGTTCCATTTTTAATTTTTTGAGGAAACTCCACACTGTTTTCCACAGTGGCTGCGCCAGTCTGCATCCCCACCAGCAGTGCACCGGGGTTCCCTTTTGTCCACATCCTCGCCAGCACTTGTTGCTTGTTGAGCTAACGATGGTAGCCATTCTGGCAGGTGGGAGGTGGTACCTCATTGTCCTTTTAATTGGAAGGTTTTTAAAGAAAGAGATTAAATAAGCACAGACAGGACAGAAGTCAGGGTGATATAACTCAGGGTGACTGGGGGGCTGTGATGGCTGGTGGGCCCGAATGACTCGGCCACACCTGAGCTCTCTGAGGGGGTTTTCCCCCCCACTGATGGGGCTCCCCGGCCGGCCATGCTTTCATCCTTCCCCAAGAGGTCAGGGCCACCTGTGGTCACTGAAGGAACGGCTGTCCCCTTGTCCAGCCCCCACCCTGTGACCTGGCTCCCAGGGGCCCCGGGTTCGAGGGCTGAGCCTGAGCCCAGCTGGCCGGAGCGCCTAACAGGGAGCATCTCCTTCAGGCCTCACCACCTGCCTGTCCTGAGGCCACCCCTGCAGCTGGTGAGGAAACTGAGGCCTGGAGGGCCAGTCCCTCTCCCCAGGCCGCCAGCCAGCAGGTGACAGGGCCACACGCCACTAGGGCCGCCTGCCCCAGGAGCCCGCTGTTCCATATGAACTTGGGGCCAGAGGCTTATCTTGGTTTTCCAGGTTGGGGTAAGGGCAGGACAGAGTGAGGACTCAGTTTCCCCTCCTGCTCTTACACACGCTAAAGGGGGCTCTCGGCTAATGGGAAGAAATCCCCGGAGCCAACTCGATGGGGCTGGGGGCTGTTGTGCCATCCAGGTGGCTCTGAGCGGGCCAGTCTGGTCTTGAGGACCCTGGAGCACATGCCCCAAAGGCATGTGAGTGTCCCCTCTGGGCAAACATTGGGCTTAGTGCTGGGGGTCACCTAAGGATGATGGGGTCCCTACCCAGAGCCTCCCTGGGGCTCACAGCACAGGGGTCGGGACGCAGAAGCAGGAGACTGAGGCACCTGGCAGAGAAGCGGCAGTGTCCTTGCAGAAGGACCAGCGAGGGGGGGCGGGGGGGCGTGGGGGCTGGCTGGGCCCTTCTGCACCCCAGCAAGGAGGCCTTGGCTACATGTCACTCACTTCCTGGATGGTCTTTCAGGGCGTCTAAGCTCCTCGTAACCAAAAGTGAGGAGGTGGCTGTGCAGGGCTCGTCTGGCAGCTGCACAATGCCGCCAGACACTGACCTCTCTGACCTCCTTCTCACCCAGCCTGTGCCTCCTCTTAGTCACAACGAGGCTGCTCCAGCCCCGGCATCACCTCCACTCTCCAGGCGGGAGGAAGGGGTGGGGCCAAGGGGAAGGAGACCATGCTGGTGGAGGCAGTCCCTCTATGAAGGTGCTTTCCAGAGACCTGCCCACATCCTCTGCTTGCATCTCACTGGTCAGACCACTTCCCGTGGGCCCCCCTGTCTGCAGGGAAACGGGGACATGGGCGCACTGTCACTCCCAGCAAAGGCAGGCTGGTGGGTAGGGGAGGAGCTGGCCCTTGAGGTACTGGCGACCCCGTCAAATGAATCAGCAAGTTTTGTCCCGCCCACAGGAGCTCCATTCACTGAACAAATGTTGGTTGAGCACCTACGGTGTGGCCGTGTTCCTGGTGTAGAGACACTGGAGTGGCCGCACCAGCCAGCCCCACGCCCCGGCGCCCTGTCCCTCCAGGGGGAACTGTACCCAGGAAGGAGGCTGCACGGGGCTTGCCTGTCATGGGGACGTGCCAGCCCTCTGGCTGGGAAAGGGGGGGCCTTGCTGAGTCACCCTGCAGGCCCGGCCGCCTGCCTGCCCCCCCACACGCGGGCACGAGGGCCAACTCCAGGGCCAGGGCGGTGCCTTCCCCTGGGAGGGGCCCCTTGGCAGGAGCCAGGGATTTTCCGAGGAAAGCCCTTGTTCCCAGAGCCGGCAGGGAGCGGTACCCACACCTCAAAATGGGGCCACCCCTTCATCAGGGCGTGGTGTGGCCGTGGACATTTCTTGGGCAGGGTGTGGTCACCCTTTAGTCAGCAGCAGAAGCAAAGTCACTGGCCCAAAGTTCAAAAGAAGAGCTTTGCTAGGAGACTTCTGATGGCTGCGGTGCCCCCGGGGGGTGAACCGAGCTGAAGACGCACGGCCGGCGCACCCCCTGCCCCCGGGACTGTCCCAGGGCCTCTCGGCACCCTCCTAGCAGAGCTGGGGCCCGCCCTCCGCACCCTAATGGGAGTAAATGTGTGAGGATGCGGACACTCGGGAGGGAGTGGGAGGAGCGTGGAGCCTGCGCCCGCAGTGTGTCCTCGGGGCTGGGATTCGCAGGTGGCCTCACCCCTGGGGCAGGACAGGGTCTCCCCGGCTGAGTTAGGGTCTTTGAGGAAAAGGAAACGGAACCCAGACAGACAGACAGACAGTGCCACACAGAACAGCCTTGTCATCCCAGCCAGCTGCCCACCCGCCCCCCCCATCTCCCAGGCAACCTCCAGCCCGAGTTGTGTGGGACATTCCAGTCCAACAGTGGGGTGTGGTAAGAAGAGGGGCTCGCTCTGGGGACAAGCCCGAGGGTGTCGGTGAACCAAGGAGGTTGAGCAAAGGGACCCAGTCTGACTGTCCAGCCAGGCCTTCAGCAGCGCCCACCCCCGATCGGACCGCTCACACGCCACCCGCCTCCTTGGGACGTTCCAGTCCAACAGTGGGGTCTCTGCTTCTGCTCATCACCAGGTTGAGGGGAGGAGCTGGTCAGCCTGGTGAACCCCACTTGTGTGCTGGGTGACCTGGCCTGGTGGCCGGACCGCTCAGTCTCTTCTGGAAAACAGAAACCAGTCCTTTGTTCGTGTCTGTGGACTTAATGCCATGGAGCCCCTGGCATGTGTGGGTGACGGTGGAGGGAGGGCTGGCTGGGAGCACAGGGGGAGGTCCGGGAGACCCGGTGGCCCAGCCAAGGTGTCCCTCCTCCTCTGCAGATCGCGGTCACCTTCGCCATCGTCCTGGGCGTCATCATCTACAGAATCTCCACAGCCGCCGCCTTAGCCATGAACTCCTCCCCCTCCGTGCGGTCCAACATTCGGGTCACGGTCACGGCCACTGCAGTCATCATCAACCTGGTGGTCATCATCCTGCTGGACGAGGTCTACGGCTGCGTAGCCCGGTGGCTCACCAAGATCGGTGAGCGCCCGTGTCCGGGACCGCGGCCCGGCCCGCCCTGGAGCCAGGCAGCCCCTCCTGCCCTGGGGCCTCGGGAGGGTCACTTCCCTCCTCTGGGCCCCGTCCCCTGAGAGCCGCGTGGAGCGGTCAGCCGGCCACTCAGCAGCCTGCGTCTCGCTCCCTCCAGAGGTCCCCAAGACCGAGAAGAGCTTCGAGGAGAGGCTGATCTTCAAGGCTTTCCTGCTGAAGTTCGTCAACTCCTACACCCCCATCTTTTACGTGGCTTTCTTCAAAGGCCGGTAGGGACCTCCTCAGCCACTGAAACTCACTGCCTTTCCCCCACTCGCTGCTGCCAGGCCCGTGGGAGGCTCCCCTCCCTGTGTCTGCAGGCGGGGCGGGGGGGGGGGGGCACCATGGCCCCGGACAGAACAGTCAGGATGGTTCTCACTGCCGCCCAGTTCTAGTGCCTGTGGGGGTGCCAGGCAGCAGGGACCCTGAACATTAGGGACTCCAGGCAGCAGGAACCCTGGACCATGGAGACCCCAGACAGCAGGGACCCTGGACAGTGGGGACCCCAGATAATAAGGACCCCAGGCAGCGAGCGCCAGGTGCCTCCGCAGTGGGTCAAGATGACTCGAGGGCGAGGGCCCTGGGAGAAGGTGTAAGAAGTGCCGCTACTGACCAGCTCCATGTGCCAGGCTGGTGGCAGGGTGAGCCCGTGTCTGGACCCTCTGGAGCCATCCTGGCCCGTGACCCCCTCCACCAGACTCCCTACCACCCCTCCTGCTGGGGCTGGCAGGTCTGATCCCAAGACCCCTCCCAAAGGCTCCTCCTCAGCAGCCTATCATTTACAAGACCCTCGGGGTCCTCCCACCCTGGGGTCCCAGAGCCCAGCCGAGGGGTCCAGGCCCCCCGAGAGCATACATGACAATGGAGCAGGCCCCCAGCCTCACATCCCACAGGAAGCTGAGAGGCAGCCTCAGGGACCACCACACCCCAGCCTCCAAGGTCCCTGGGGTAGCCATGGTGGGTGACAGCTTGGCCTTCGTCCCCTCCTGGGCCCCCCGCTTCCGTCCCCCCTCAGCCACTTGGTTTCCTGTTACGTTTCTTACCCCGTGTGGGTTTGGGAGTCACAGGAACACTGGACCAACAGAAAAGCCCCCGGTCATTTTTTAGCCAGTGGAACAGGCAGAGAGAGGCCTCTTTAACACACTCCGGGCTGTGCCTTCGGGGGTCTCAGCTCGCCCCTCCCCCACGGGTCCCCCAAGCTGGGTCTCTGCCCTCTGACTGCCTTCCAACCGATACAGGTTCGTGGGGCGCCCCGGCGACTACGTGTACATCTTCCGATCCTTCCGCATGGAGGAGGTAATGAGCTCGCAAGCCTCCCGGGCCCCATCACATTTCCATTCTGTCCACTCGGTGCCCGGCCGATTCCTTATCGGGGGGCGGTCTCCTTCCTTCCCGTGGGAGCCCCTCTCTCCCGGGTGGTGGCCGGGCTCTGACAGTCTGAGGTGTGTCCATACAGGATCACCCCGAAAGGAGCATCTCTTCGTAGTCGGGGAAACCCAACAAGGACACCGATTTTTTTTCCTTTTTCTATTAGACCGGGGATCTTCTACTCTTTGGTTAAGATGAGGGGAAAACTAAACTCGGCTACCTTTCATTTTACTTTAATATCGGAATGCCCGCTTCTCTTCCCCCCAAACACGATGCTGGTGACCCTGGGCCACCATGGGTCTGGTCAGGGCGCCCGCTGTCCTCTGCCGCCGAGTCCCGGCCCCAGACCAAGCTGGGGCTTCTGAGCCGGTGGGTTGTTCAGGTCTCGGGGGACCAGGTCAGCATTTCCAACCCCCAGAATAATTCCACTTGACGGAAAATAAGGGGAGTGTCTTCCTGATGAAGAGCCTGTGGAGGGGAAGATTGGGGTGGGCATCAGGCACAGGGCAATCTGGCTGCCCAGGGCACAGCCTAGAGGTTCAGCCCCTTGAGTGCCAGCCTCTGAACATCCCGACACAGGCCTCACCCACAGGAAGAGAGGTTTGCCAAAAGCCCAGCCAGGGCTTTCCTGGACGTGCCCTTCACATAGACGGCGCCCTGTCCAACTCTTCAATGTCTGGAGAAGTCGGTGACATGCCTTCGTAGAATAGAATACAGCAAAGACATCATCTTTTTCTTTTTCCTTTTTAGAGAGAGTGGAAAGGTGGGGGAGAGACGGAGAGAGAAAAACATCAATGTGAGAGAGAGGCATTCATTGGTTGCCTCCCACATGTGCCCCGACCAGGGCCAGGGACCAAGCCAGCAACTGAGGTGCATGCCCTCGACCAGACTCAAACCCGGACGCTTCAGTCCATGAGCTAATGCTCCATCCACTGAGACAAACCAGCTACAGCCATCATCATTTTTTTTTTTTAATGAAATGATGGCTCTGCAAGAAAAACTTTTGGGTAACAATATAAAGAGATTTGCTAGGGACTCAAAGAGGAGTCATCCGTACTCAGGGGTCTCTAGTGTGTCCTGAGTTCTCTTTGTTCAGATGAGTTAAGTTCTCACCCATCATACCAGCCCCCGGCCTAAGGCCACACAAGCCCCATAAGGACAGGGGCATTAGGTGGCTGGCTGTCTCACCGTGTGGCTTCCCAACTGCAGGGGCCCCAGGCTGCCGTGCCCGTGGCCATGCAGGGTCTGTGGACAGGCAGCCAGTGTAAGGGACAGGGCACTGGCCTTGGGGGAGGAGGGGAAGCCGAGATCAGCCCCAGCGCTGCCCAGCCTGGCCGTGCATTCCTCCCTGAGCCTGGTCCCAGCCCCAACGGCCTGCAGGCCGGGCGCACTAGCTTCCGGAGGGCCGAACAGAATACCACAGATGGGAGACTCAAAACAACAGAAATTGCCCGGCTGGTGTGGCTCAGTGGTTGAACATCGACCTATGAACCAGGAGGTCACAGTTTGATTCCTGGTCAGGGCACATGCCCCGGTTGTGGGCTGGATCCCCAGTAGGGGGTGTGCAGGAGGCAGCCGATCAATGATTCTCTCTCATCATTGATGTTTATCTCCCTCTCCTTTCCTCTCTGAAATCACTTAAAATATTTAAAAGAAAAACAAACAGAAATGGATCCCCTCGCAGTTCTGGAGGCCAGATGTCCAAAACCAGGGTGTCAGCAGGGCTGCGCTCCTTCCAAAGGCTGGAGGGGGCTCTGCCCGGCCTCTCCCGGCTCCCATGGCCCGGGCAGTCCTTGGCGCTCCCTTGCATATAAACGCAGCACTCCGACCTCTGCCGCCCTCCGGCTTCACTCGCCTCCTCTGCAGGTCTGTGTTCTCTTCTTGTAAGGACACCAGCCATTGGACAGGAGCCCACTGTGCTCCCGTGTGACCTCATTCTAACTTGGTCACGTCTGCAAAGACCCTATTTCTAAATAAGGTTCCCTTCTGAGGTTCTGGGATTAGGACGTGGACCTAGCTTTGTGGAGGACACAGTTCAGCCCACCCCACGAGGGCTGAGCTCCCCTCCCTGGGGCCAGTCCTCTCTCCCGTGCCCTCGGGGTGGGATGGGATCTCACGCACCCTCCCTCCACCTGCAGTGCGCCCCGGGCGGCTGCCTGATGGAACTCTGCATCCAGCTCAGCATCATCATGCTGGGCAAACAGCTCATCCAGAACAACCTGTTCGAGATCGGCATCCCGTGAGTACCGCCGGGCGGGGGGGCGGGACGATGCCGGGCCTGGGCCAGGACGGGGTGGGGGGCGTGGGGATGCCAGACAGGGAGGTGGTGAGGACAGAGGGGGGGGACTGGACGGAAGCCACCCCACAGGGAACGAGGAGGAGGCCGGGGACTCTGCTCCCCGACTGGCTGAGGATGCAGAGTACCGACAGGTCCTGTGGAGGCTGTGCCTGCTTACCCAGCATCCTTCAGGGACCATGGCCCGGTCCCTCTTCAAGGCGCCATGATCTGCCTTCTCCTTCCGCCCTCCCAGGGTCGGCGTAGGCACAGCCAGACCCTTGGCACCGTCAGGGCCTCCCCGCGGTTCTAGGTGGCCCTTGCCCTCCCTGCGCCTCTGCTTCCTGCGACCCCTGCCTCGGGGGAAAGGGCGAAGAGGCCATGGACAGAGCAGCCCGGCCAGTGCGGCCGCTCAGGGTGTGACGTGACGGCTCAGGGAATTAGGAGCACCGCTGGCGGTGCAGACTCGGCCCCCCAAAGCCCGCCCTCCTGGCAACCTGACCGAGTCCTGGCCTTGCTTTCAGGAAGATGAAGAAGTTCATCCGCTACCTGCGGCTGAAGCGCCAGAGCCCCGCGGACCACGACGAGCACATGAAGAGGAAGCAGCGATACGAGGCGGACTTCACGCTGGAGCCGTTCGGGGGCCTCACCCCAGAGTACATGGAGATGAGTGAGCAGGCGGGCTCGGAGGGAGGGGGCCCCTGCTCACTGGGACGGACAGCCCTCGTCACCTGCACTCGGGAGGGTGCCCGGGGGTGGCTTGTAACTCTCAGGCGGAGCAAGGGACAGATGAGGAGGTCAGGTGTGGCCACATGGCAACCACCCGGAGCCCCCCTGGCCCCACCCCCCACTCTCCTCCCCCTGCTCTGGCCACACAGGCCTCCCCACTGTCACCCAGACACAAGTGGCCACCTCCCTTGCACTAGCAGGGCCAGGAATGCTCTCCCCCTAATACTGGCACGACTCCCCCTCTCCCTTCCCCAGGGCTCAGCACTGAGTGTCCACCCCAGAGGGTCTTCCTGACCACAGTGTTGAAAGGGGGCAGCCCCTCCCTGCCCAGCGGCTCCTCTCCACCCTCCCCACACACGGCTCCCATCACCCTCTGACATGGTCAGCTCGCCCTGTCCCCTCCCTTTCCTGGCAGGCCCCCTGCACCTAGAACCGGCCCAGGTGGACAGTGGGCGCTCAGTGCGTGTTCGCTGAATGAACGGATGAGGGAAGGAGGCCTCAGAGGGGAGTGTCCCCTGGCCACCACGGACAGGTTGTTTAAGACGTGGGTTCCCTGGCCCATCCCTGGTCTGTGTGGGCTGAGACCTGGGGCTGTGGATTTTAAAACAAACCCCTGGCAAACTGCCGCGGTGAGGGGTGCGGGGCAGGGCGACCTGGGGTGGAGCTTCCTGCTTTATGGCGAGCCTGCCCTGCACGCCTGTTGGCTCAGCTGGTCCGTGTAAGTCCCGCCGGGCTTCCCAGTGGTGCAAGGAGCACCGCGCCATTGACTCAGAAGGAAAAGAATCTGGAGGCTTGGAATAAAAGGAAGCAGTGTTGTGTTTGGAGGACATTCTCTATTTCCTCCTGGAATAAAATCCAAGCTGAACCAGAGGCTATTCCACCCAGCATGGGGTGTGGGAGGAGGCCTCCCCTGCCTGCCCCGCCCCGGAAGGTGGGGGCGGTGGAGGGAGGCAGCCTCTGATGGGCTAAGAGAGGAGGTGTTTCTCAGAGGTTCATTTCTATGATGGCTGGAGGTTGAGTCCCACATTCCCCTGGATTTGATGAAATTAGGTCCTGGGACAGGCTCCTCCTGCCCACCCAGGGAGCGCCCCGCTCCCCGTGCCCCGCGCCGCTCTGGGGAGCTGGGATTGACTTATGGACCAGCTGGGCCAACAGGCGCCCAGGGCAGGCTCGCCATAAAGAAGGAAGCTCCGCCAGAGGTCACCCTGCCCCGCACCGCTTGCCCGGGGGTTTGTTTTAAAATCCACAGCCCCAGGTCTCGCCTGGCTCAGACCAGGGATGGGCCAGGGAACCCGCCTTTTAAATAAGCTGTCGGTGGTGGCCACAGGCACCCCCCACTAGAGCTCTCTGCAGGAGTCTTCAGACCTTCCCCTCATCCGTTCGTCCAGGGGCACTCTGCACCCCATGACTGTCACCCCGCCACACCCGCTGCCTGTCTCCCCCTTGAGGCCAACTCGCTGGACACCCAGAGCATGGGTCACGGGTGCCCGTACACGGCAAGAAAAGGCCCCGCCGAGAATGTCCCGCCCCCGCCCCGCCCCATCGAGGCTCCAGCTGCCCTCCTGGCCCCATTCCTGGCCCAACAGTGCAAGACGAGTGGGGGAACCCACAGCCTCAGCCTCAGCAGCCCCTGGCCCGCACCCTGAGCTTATCCAAGGGCCCCGTCACCCCCAGAGCCTTTAGACCGGGCCAGCGTACGGCCCAGAGGCCACATGGAGCCCCCACCGACGGTGCGGACAGTGGCCACACTCCGCTGCCCAGGCATCTGACACCGCGACGTCCTGTCAGCTCCTTGTTCACCGCCTGGCACCGAGCGCCTCGGCCGGTCCTGTTGTGCAGTCCCCGAACCAGCAGCCCCACTCGCTTCCGCTCAGCGACCTTTTCCTGTCCCCTCCGGGTCGCCGGCCCTGTGCTGGCTGTAGTGTCCCCAGTGAAGACACCACAGAGGCAGCCTGTCCGTGATGAGGATGAGGAGGGAGAGGGAGGGGCCTGAGGCAGGGGGGACATCATCCTGCACACTGGTCCCCGCCCGGCTCCCCGAGGCCCGATGGAAGGGGACGTTAAGGGCTTTTGGAGACGCTGGCAGGCCCCCCAAGTGCAGGAACCTCTGGCCGATGGGAGCGTAAGGGCCCCTGCGAGGCCCTTCTAGCCAGGCACGATGGCCGAGGCTGGGCCCTGGTACTCATGGGGCCTTTTTCCCATTATTGATTTTCTCTTTTTACTTTTCAATGACAGTTTACATTCAAGATAATTTCGTATTCTTTTTCAAGATTAAACATGTGATAAATGAGTACTTATGGACCAGCTGGGCCCATTGTTCAAGAATCACACTCCCCCCCCCGCCCCAAAAAAAGGAGTCACACTCCCGGGTCACCTTCTTCCTCTGGAGGCAGGGCACCAGCCAGAACCCCAGTGGTCAGCTCCCGGGGCTCCTGGGCGGTGGGCACCCCCTCCCGGGTGGGAGGCTGATGGCTCCCTCTCTCTGCAGTCATCCAGTTTGGCTTCGTCACCCTGTTCGTGGCATCCTTCCCCCTCGCCCCGCTGTTCGCGCTGCTGAATAACATCATCGAGATCCGCCTGGACGCCAAAAAGTTCGTCACCGAGCTGCGCAGGCCGGTGGCCGTCAGGGCCAAAGACATCGGTGAGTGAGCCACCGGCGGGTTGTGAGTGAGCGCAGGCTGGGTTTGGGGGAGGGAGAGTCAGAGCCAGCAAAGTGGGGCCAGGCAGGGGGTCCCCACAGGCTGCTCACTGCGCCTTGGCTGGATGGAGACTCGGAGTCTCTGGGCGGGGTGATGCACCACCCCAAAGCTCCCCCCTCCCCCCTCCCCCCGACCTCCTAACTCCTGAGATGTATTGGCCACGGGAGTTAGTCCGGACACGTCTCACCACCCACCGGCCCAGGTCCTCCGGCTGCACTTCCCTTCGATGGTCCTCAACTTCCCCTCCCCACGAGGGACATTGCGTGCACCCCCAGAGCACAGAGCTAGACCAGTGGGGAAGCTCACGTTAGCTGCTAAACAAGGGCTTCCTACGTAGGGTATCATTTAATCATTTGATGTTCACAAGAAAGAAAGAAAAGGAGGGGAAACGCCCCGCTCCCCCTGATGAAGGGCTGGATTGCAGTGTGGCAGGACACCCCAGGGCCTTCCTTCCTGGGGCATCACTTTATCTTTCACAGCCGAGACATGATATTGCTAAATATGGGGGCTCTGTCAGCCCTGCCAGGAGCTCCTCTGTCCTCTTGGGCCATCCCATCCCTGTCCTTGGCCGTGCCTTGGCCTCTGCTGGCCGATGGACCCGCCCATGGTAGCCAGACCTCCCCCCCCTCCGCCCCCATCCACCTCTGAGATGGCGTGGACTCCATCACAAGTGTGGTCTCTTAGGTTGAACTGTATGAAATCGCCATCTTCATGGCTCCGACGTGGTCGCCTATCGGTGATTTTGTCCGGTTCCCATGCAACCCCACATTGGAGCTGTGGGATCCGTGGCGAGACCTGCGGGCCCGGCTTTGAGAGGAGCCTGGACACTTTGGCTTTCCTCAGGGAGGGCCGTCAGCGCCAGGACTCGAGTGTAGCGGCCATCCCCCTGCGTTCTGACACGTTAGCTTGCCCCCATCACAGACCACCAGCAAGGACTCAGAACAGACGCCCTCCCTACCCAACTTCCCGGTAGGATTCCATGTGGGATTTTTTTTTAAATGTATTTTTATTGAGTTCAGAGAGGAAGGGAGAGGGAAGGAGAGATAGAAACATCAGTGATGAGAGAGAATCATTGATTGGCTGCCTCCTGCACGCCCCCTACTGGGAATCAAGCCCGCAATCCCAGGCATGTGCCCTGACTAGGAATCGAACAGTGACCTCCTGTTCATAGGTTGACGCTCAACCAGTGAGCCACACCGGCCGGGCTTGTATGCAATTTTAAACAGCTGTTAAGGCCCTTGAACTGGCTGGCTCTCTGAGTCCCTTCTGGTCTGTGATGCTGCCTCATCCTCGCCTCTCCGCCTGCCCCCCGTCCTCCCATCACATGGGTCGGAGCTCAGCGCACGTGAAGGCCCCAGAGTCAATGTTTCGGTCCCTGTGGACCAGGAGGCCACGTCCTCGAGTCAGGGCAGCTGGGTTTCCATCTCACACGTTAAATATAAGAAGCCGGTCTTCGCTCGTGGGCCACCCAAACCCAGGCGATGCTTGCAGACCCCCCAGAGACTGAGACACGGCAGCAGGCTTCAGTTAGCGCATCACGCCTGCTCCGAGGACCACCCCGGGGAGCAGGTCTGGCATTGAACGTCTCCTGGGGGTTCAGCTGTCGGGTGGCAAGATCCTGGGTCCCACTTTCCAGATAGGAAAACTGAGGCTAGCGGGTTGACAGCCGTGCGGGGACCAGGAGAGTGGCCTCCAGAAGCTTATGCTGCACCAAAGGCCTCGCCAGGGGTGGCAGGGGCCTGCTCGCCACACACCGGACAGTCCTTGGGAAAGCTGGACCCCGTGCCCAGTGGCAGTAAAGAGCACGGCCTCCTGTCACTCTTCCTTATGATTCTCAGGTGCCCGCAGGCCCCGGTCCGGTGTTTGCTTTGGCACCCTTTGCTTGGCAAAGCCTGGCTGCCCCCTGCAGCCACATCCCAAAAGTTGCCAACCCACCAGGGTGGGAGGAGCCTGGGCAGCCTCTGGCCTCTGCGCTCCACTGTGGCCGTTGTTCCCACCGCGAGCAAGGCTTGGAGCAGGTCTCCGGGGCCTGGGGGAGGTTGGCTCTGTTTTTTTCTGGTTCTTGCGGATCACCGCTCACTTCCTGGTTCCTGTATGGTTGGTTGGAGGCATAATCTGCCTCCTTTCACGGGTTTATTTATGGGCTTCTTCGCTGTAACCTTTTCCTGAAGAGGCTTTTGTATTCCTCCTGTGATCCGTGCAGGGCCCCGAGGGGACGGAGGGCCCCAGTGGCCCCTGTGACCTGCACCCACGGGCGGGGTGGCTGGGGGAAGCTCTGCCACAAAGGCCCGGCGCCTCCATCGCGCTGCCTGGGCACGGAGAGGGAGGGCGCTGCAGGGGACCCAGCCCTGTGCGTGGGAACCGGCTCCAGCTTCCCAGCCCTGACCTCTGACACCAGATTAACCCGCTTCCGGCTCTCAGCCTCCTTCTGCGGAGCCTCCGGGAACAAACTCCTGCCGGCATTCAGCTCCGGGCGCCACGTGTGGTCACGGGTGACTGCACAGCCCTGTCATGTTCCTGGAAATGGGGCTCAGCACCTGGGACGGCAGAGGCACCTTGAAGAAGGCAGCCCCCACCCCCATCCCCATAAAGGAAGCCCAGAGGTTTTTCCCACGAGCATGGTCCCTGGCGCCTGGGGATCCGCAGGGCGGCCGTCCTCACCATGGAGCTCGGCCAGGCACCTGGGGAGAGTCAAGACGCCGAGACAGGCTGGTCTGGCCCTGGTTTTGCACTTGTTAAGCGGGACCCCACGATTCTGGTGTGGGGGTCACTCCGAGGACCACTGGCCGCCACATGAAGGCGCTGTGGCACCTGCAAGACAGGTTTCGCTCCCAACTTCGGGAAAGCTCTGCTGGCCCACCCGTTCCCCACTGCCACCAGCCCGGCCGTGGACCCGTTTCCTCGTGCTGAGCTCAGCTGCCTCCCGAGGGAGCCCCCTACCCAGAGACGGCAACCTTCCCCAGGCTACCTGAGCCCCAGGACCCCAGCACCCCAGCTCTGAGGTCGCAAACTCAGGCCCCACAGGTGGGCCGCATGAACGGGAGACGGGCACACACAGGATGCTGACACGGCCACGGAGCACATGATGGGCCGAGTTCCTGCTCTCAGGGAAGACCAAAGGGAACCACACCAACTTGTGTCTGGATTCGGTCGGCCCTCCCACGGCCGCAGGACTGCTGACCGGAGGCAGGGCCAGCAGCAGGGGGCGCTGTCACAGAATCCTCACAGGCCGGCGGGGAGTAAGAGAGCTGGCCTCGGGCGCTGCCTCCAAGCCCGTGGTTTCTAGCTTCTGGGCCACACAGACCTGGAATCACGTCTTTGCAGACCACCAACATGCACCCCGAAATCGGGGCCTTGGGGGCACCCAGGTGCTCACTGCTCTCCTGCCCCAAAGCAGCCTCCGCCCTGAGTAGAGAAACCCCACCTGCCACAGTCTTCCCTAGTGCCAGTCGCACCAACAGGCCAGGCTGGGCCGTGGTCCTCTCCCGCCCTTTCCGAGAAGTGCTGGTTGTCCCCGGAATCAGATCTGGTTCAGCGACAGGGTTCCCGGCCCAACAGGACTGGGTTAGGGTCACTGGGCTAGGAGGCACTGGGCCCCTTCCCAGGAGTCGCAGCATCGAGGCCCTAATAGGCAGGTCCCCCAGATAAGGCACTTCCTTCCTGGGCCCGGCTGCCAGGGAGGCCGTGGCGGAACACCTCCTCCAGGGCGGCCGGATCCTTCTCACCTGCGCTCAGGTGCACGGGAAATGGTCATTACACCCAGGATGGGACCCGGCCTGAGCATCCAGGACCCCACACTATGTCTGGCTTGTCCCTAAATATAGGGACAGAAGGAAAGAGCTGCCGTAACAGTTCTAGTCACCAACCCTCTGGGCGTGGCCTCGAGTTACCGTGCCGTGGGCTCTTATGGGCAAGAGCTGTACCCAACTTGAATCTTTGTTGTCGTAGAAAAAACGGCGGCGTCCAAGCCCATCAGTGGGTAAACAGGCTCACGGGAGCTTGTTCAGGACGACGGAGGGACCAGCTGGTGGGAAGCGCTCGTTGAGAAGTTAGGATTTGCTTACAAGCAGCTGGTGGACCAGCAGGAGCCCAGGCTCTGGGGTCAGCAGGTGCCTGTCTGGGCCAGCAGCCGGGTCCCTGAGACCCACCGCAGGGGCTAACACTGTGCTTCTGCCTCCCCAGGAATCTGGTACAACATTCTCAGAGGCATCGGGAAACTTGCCGTCATCATCAACGTAAGTGACAGCGGTTGGGCACAGGGAGGCCCTGGCTGAGCTGGCTGGCAGCCCGTCGCCCCTCCCAGGGAGCTGGGCACCCTCTGCTTTCAATCTGGGTGAGGCCGCGGGCTGGCAGCAGCGTCTCCTCTTTAGAAGTGTCCCTTGGTCATGTTGAGACGTTGTGGGGAGCTTTAGGCGGGAATCACAGATCCTCCTGAACCTTTTCCTGCGACCTTGAGCAAAATTCTCCACCATGCCCACCTTGACCCCTAAGTCCACTCTCCCCAGAGTCCTGAGAATAAACAAGAGAGAGACAGAGACAGAGAGACATTGAGAAAGAGAGATTCCTCATAAGCAATTTTTCTGCTCTTTTTTTTTTAAAAGTGCCTGGCCGGTGTGGCTCAGTTGCTTGAGCATCGTCCCGGGCACTGAAAAGTTGCAGGTTCAATTCCCAGTCAGAGCACATGCCTGGGTTGCAGGCTCCATCCCTGGTAGGGGGTGTGCAGGAGGGGGCCGATCGATGTTTCACTCTCACATCGATGTTTCTCTAAACTCTCTCTCCCTCTTCTTCTCTCTCTAAAAATCAATTTTTAAAATCTT